TCTTCTTTATGCACTAAGAGCTTGTAACACTCCAAAGAGAAAGGAAAAATTGAAATCGCATTATATGACCCCTTTAATGGATAAGTGAAGTGACTGAAATGCATGCATATCACTGACCTTACTAAATCATCATGAGGGAAAAATACATTTGCACATCATTTTAAAATCTATTCATTAAATATCAATTTTATTCTTTCTTCAGGAAGCTCAACTGAAGCACAATACTGTCCTCATATGGTAAGATTGATTCAGTCATTCAAATAAAATAAGAACATGAGAGGTGAGCTCTATTGAACATGAATACATACTCACATACTCAATGCCGCTTGCATCTTGGCCTGGGCGATAAAACGGTATCGATATTTATCGACGGTACACCTTCGATAACGATATAAAAAAATTTCTATATAGTGCATGATATAGGCACGTGCTATGAGTGACGCAGACAGCACACACAAACACGAACATGAGTGCTGTGCCTGCCGGTGATGAGGAGATTGTGAGTAAAGAATTAATATTAGTCAAATTTAAAATAAACATTTGCATTTGAATGCAAAAATAGTACAATCCAATGTTAGATGTGCGCCAGGGAGCGTCATGCCGTCATCAGTGGGGCACGAGATGCGGTGATGATGCAAGTGACGTTGTAGTTTAATGTTTTGTTAGTCTAGCCCACGAGACGCACAGTTGCTGTGTTATTCATTCAAACTATTAGAGAAATATAGAAGCTCAATGCGGAGAAGATCTTGATTAGGTTAAAACCTGAAATCAAGCCATTCACAAAGAACGCATTTTCAGCGCATTTTTTAGACGGACAAATACGACTGCTGCACTCGCGTCTCACACAAGAGATGTATAGAAAGCCATGCAAAGTTAAAACAGTTTAAACTTTTAGAAAACACGTCGCAAATTTGTGGATGTTTATTCCTTTTTACTGCGTCTCATATGTTTTTAAAGGCAATCTGTGTGATGGGCGATTCGGCTCTTTGTATTAAGCAATGCATATACGTGATGCTGTTTTGTTCATAATTGTTTATGCAATTTACGAAATTATATTTGATTTATATGAGTTAATTTAGACGTAATGCACGTTTTTTTATAGACTATTACTTCCTTGCGTTGAACATTTAAAATGTGCTGCATTATTTTGCTCATTGAGCCCTCCTGTGGCCTCGGGAGACAAGCCAAAAGTTTAACCTATTTAATCTGCATATAAAACGTTAGAAATTAGATATTTGTTTAATTTTTATTTTGTTTTTGACTGTTAAAACAAAAAAATATTTGTTGTTTGTCTCAATAAATTGAGTTAATTTAAAAATACAGTGGTTAAATGTAAATTTTTTTTAAAAAAAGGTTATAAAAAATGTCAATAATTATCGATACCGAACGATATGAAACATTATATCGTTGATACATTTTTTAGCTATATCGCCCAGCCCTACTTGCATCAATATCTGCCTTTATGGTGTTCTAAAATAACAGTTATACTCTGATACAGATGCTACATCTCTCCTGTGTGAAAAATCACTTTACTTTGTATTGATTATCAGACGTAATATACAAATATAAAGATATTCACACAAGGTCACACAATTCAGGCCTCCACGTCCAATCTTCATCATCCAGAGGGTCTTTTGAGGTATTTTTACCACCCTCAAGTTCATTTTTTGTTTTTGGCACCTTCCATTCTCCGTAAGACGAGTTGGAAAAATGGATCACTGTCTTTCCCTGCTGCTTGAGTCCCATTGGTTGGCCAGCCCCTCGCTCACATGGACACTCCCATCCGCGCGGCTAGAGGTCTGTGACAAACCCAAATCATGTGGCTCCAGCGTGACTTTATCACTTTGTCTTCCACAGAGGATTGTGGTACACCCATCCATCCCCCTGCAGCCAATTCAAGATGTTAGACATGCTAGATCTGATACGAGAACCAATATCCTGCATGACTCTGGAGCTAATCATGAGGCACGACATTGAAGGGAAATGAATGATATTCGACCCCGTTGCAAATACGCTGACATGACGCATAATGTTTCAGAAAATGCTGTATTGAATTATATACATGTACATACATTCATCAAAAAATCCTGAAAAATATATATATTTTTTAATATTAAAATTATATATTTATAATATTAAAATATTTCTTAATATTACTATTTTTACTGTATTTATGATCAAATTATTTCAAACACATGAAAACATCTCACAACCCCAAACTTTTGAATGGTTGAGTTTAGTATTAAGTTTGGTGCCATTTTAAAAACGGAGACCCCTGCTTTTTTTTTTTACTCCATTTGTGCTTCGTCTAGCTGTTTTTGAACATATGAATGTGTCTTAAAGGGGTCATATGACGTTGCTAAAAAAATGCAGTTTATGCAGTTTAAGGTAAAAAAAACACCCATTATTTTCCACATACTGTACATTATTGTTTCTCCTCTATGCCCCGCCTTTCTGAAACGCGTCGATTTTTACAAAGCTCATCGGTCTGAAAAGTGAGGTGTGCTCTGATTGGCCAGCTATCCAGTGCGTTGTGATCGGCCAAATTCCTCAAGCGTGTGACGGAAATGTGTGACGGAAAAGCATGTCTGCACCGGAAAACACCGGCATTGTAGGCTAATCTCCCAGGAAACAGTCCTCGACCTCCGTAAAATGTGTTGCTCACACCTGAATATTTGGGTTGACGTGTTCTGGAACGGTGTTGTAAATACAACTTAACCACTGATTTCTAGTCGTGGCCTCTTTTGGCAGACCAAACAAAGTAGTTTCGCTTTCACAATGAAACACACAGCGTCTCTACGACATGGTGGCGGCGGCAACAATACTACAGCGAGAATCAAAGTTACGCCTTCTTTCTTTGCGTGATTTGAGATTTTAGTCTTTGCAACTTTAGGGATCTTATCTATTCACGAACAGCTTGTAACACTCCAAAGAGAAAGGAAAACTTGAAATCGCATCATATGACCCCTTTAAGTAAGCACCTCATAAAAAACACATCTGATTGGGGTCTGGAGAAATGAAACTCGTCTAAAACTCGTTGATTACTTGACTAGTCCTTCAGACAACCTGCTGAATAGTCAATTATTAACAAATGTAGTTTTGCACATCTCTAGGAAAGTGAAAAATGGTACTTTTATGCACAAATGAAGGCTTTGACACTGCAAGTCTCAAAAGCCTCACCTCTTTAATGAAGTACTTGGGTTTCCAGGTGGTGCTGCTGGCCGTTCTCTGCTTCCCTTCTCTCCTCTGTTTCTCCTCCAGCTGGTGTTTGTGTTCAGTGGCCGCATCGATATCGCCGGCCTTCAGCGCTGCTGTCACATGCTTCCACAGCCGCCTGTTAATCATTGTCACAAGACAGGATAAGGACACGAGCAGCGTATTTTAAGAATTATTTCAAATTTAACAAATTTTATTTCAAGTCAAGTCAAGTCAAGTCTGCTTTATTGTCAATTCTTCCACATGTACTATGCAAAATATTTTAAAATATATATAAGCAATATACTGTATGATATATTTGGCCATTATGGGATATTTTAAAATATACTTAAAAATATATTGAAAATGTATTTTGTTTTTTTGCCATATGGGCAATCACTTTACAAGTCAGTTAAGTTTCTTGAGAAAAATAAAGCTGCAAAACTTTGCTGTTTTGTCAAGGGGTGTTTCATCTAGCCATATTGATCAGGATAAGAAAAGCAACCTCAGATGATAAATCAGTCATATCTTTTATTAAATTGGACTCCAAACCTTTCACGGATCAATGGATCCACACTTTTTGCATGCATACCACAGCTTTCATGCACCTCTCTGCCGCTATATCTTCTTGTGATTGCATTACGCGTGTGTGGTAGCATTAGACTACTCTGATGGGGCTCTGTCCTGTCCGGCTGGATCTCTCCTCGACAATAGGCCAATAAGCAGCATTAGAGATTATTAAGTGAAGCCTCCAGCTTGCTCAGGGCCAGAGGGTCAAGAGTATTTTATAAGAGCTCTCGATGGGCAGGATTTAGCTAAAATGCACTAAAGTGCGGGATGCTCATCCACCATGGTATTATCTAGACCACTAAGCTCTGATCTTTTGCACTTGTTATTTATTTGTATTGTCTGAGTACCTCTATTCCCTTAAGATTTCACTATGCTTCCATTTGAAGCCTAATGAAAATAGACAGTAATGGACTTGAGTAAAATGAATAAAGCAAAGTAACTCTACAAATGTTATTTATAGAAATGTATTTATTTAGTCCATTTTGTACTTTGGTAAATTTGATAATCAGATCATTTTGGCCTTTCTGCCACTAGACTGAAATGGCTGCAAAAAAAAAAAAAAAAGAAAGAAATTACTTTTAAAAATGTAAAAAAAACAAAAAAAAAAACAAGGCTGCAAATAAATTAATTCTGTAACATAAAATAAAATAACGTAGTTATTTAACAAGAGTTGCCAAATTGAGGTAATTTTAACAATATTTAGTTCAGGATTTTTTCAATGGTTATGAAGGTTATGTTTTTTTTTTTACTTTTAAACAAAGGTTTAATGCTGCTACTCACATTATATAGAAAGTCTACTAAGTCTACTATGAAAAGAAATATGAATATTGGATAAAACAATGCTTAAATCAAATTTAATTTAAAAATAAAACAAAATGGTAAAACAATGCTTATAGCAACTTTAAAGAAAAGATCAATATGTTAATTCTCTTGTAAGCAACTATATTACCATTATTGAAGCTAAATTCATGAAAACATCTCCTCACCTTGATTCATACTGGCTCTGTTTCTCCAGTGGCCGGATCTTTTTCTTAATGACTGGCAGTTTGGACGTGTCAATCACTTTGGTCTCTCCACTGCTGTAGGTGAACTCCAGCGTCCCGTTCCACTCCCCCTGAGCCTTGCAGACGATGGTGCCGCTGGGGTTGTGTTTGACCTCAGCCGTTACTCTGTTAGAGAATAAGAGAAAATGAGTTAAAGATGAAAAAAGAAACAACTGTTTTACCTGATCTCAAATAAAACAGGCTCTCAAAGACAAGTCTCTTCACTCTCACCTGTGAACTTTCCCTCCATAGAAGGGTTTGGTGTGGAATGTGACGGCGGCAGAGTATCCGCTTTTGGCGCAGCAGATGGAAACTTTTCCACCCAGCTCCACCCAGGGCACTGTGAGAATGGAGCGGGCGTAGGCAGACGGCAGTGTGAACACATACTCCTCATCATGCTCCACGAGATGTAAAATTCCTAAGGTAAAGCACAGGGCACAGGTCACACTCTCTTCAGCAGAACACACTCACCAGGAACAGTACAGTACAGAACGGTTTCAGCTCGTCTCCAAACAAAAGATTGACCGCAATTCTGATTCACATTGATCCCAGTGCTCTGTAGGAGTTTACAAAGCTCTTGCATGTTTGGTGCAGCGGAGAATTTCAAAAAGTATTATCCTAGATGTGTAGAATATGACAACATTAAAATATGATAGCAGGATGAGCAGAGAATAGTGATTGCTGCATTAATATAACAACTGTTTGTGCTCTTAAATGTCAGTCTAACAGTCTCATCCATCTCACTGTGTCCAGTCCCAACCAATCCTAAAGGAATCAATGCGAGTTCTGTAAGAATTCTCTAAATAATGAATTAAGATCCTACTGGATAAACTGAAATTTGAAATTTGCAACTTGATATTTTATAAACTGCAAAGTTTTAATGCTGCTACTTAATCTACATTATACAATAGGTATACAACTGAAAATAAATATGAAAAAACATGAAAAGGTGGATTCTTAGTGTTGTGGGATTATGGACAGTGAGGTTATTGTTAACTAAAACAAAAAAAAAATAAATCATTTTGCTCATTTGAAATAAAGCTGGAATAAAATAGAAATATTAGATGAAAAATAAAAATGAGAAATCTTGCCTTGGCAACCAGCTAATTTAAAACTTAAGTTGAAGTACTTAAATTACTAAAACTAAAACTGAATTAATAAATAAATAAATAAATATAAAAAAGCTAAATAGAAATATAAAAAATGACAAAATATACTAAAGCACATGAACTTACTAAAACTAAATAAACAAAATAGGTAATTCAAAACATTAATACATACTATAATAGTACACAAATAATACTACAAACAGAAAGTAGGGATCAAAATAATAGTAAATGTTAAAAAAAATGAACAGAAATAAAGAACTTTGACATAATGAGTAAAATGAAGCCACATCAAACCATCAAAAAAAAACAAACATTAAAATTCACTTTGAAAAATTAAAGGTTCATAGTAATATTAAGTTAAATATTTGATTTTTAGTACATTGTTTACCTCTGTATGATAAACAGTTCTTTTACAGTCAACACTTGATGTCCAATTTAAAATCTGGATTCTGAAGCAAAAGCTTCAGCCTCTGTCTTTCTTGAGCATATTAGAATTGGTTCCAAATTATATTAACAATTCATTAGTATGCCTTTCGATTAAAAAAAAAATTTAATTCAAGCTTAATTTCTAATACAATCCTTCTGTACAGCCCAGTGTCGTGTGTTTTGATCTGTTCTGATTCATCAGTCATCAGGATGACAGTTTTTTTCCCTCAATGATTTAACTATATAAGTTTCCTGGTGTACTTTGATTTTAATATATTATATTATAATGCAAGTCTCGAACCACAGTTGGAAGTTATTAATTAAAATTATGAATTGTGTCTAGCTGTGTAACTCCTGTAACATCTGAACAGCGCGAGCATGTTCACAGCAGCTCTCTCAGTGGGCCTGGCCTCTTTTCCTTTCGGTTATGTAATAGACAGCTGTCTAGTGGCAAAATCTCTGTGGGCTTTTAGCCAGTCTGACAACAGCACATCTGTTTCCCAGAGACAAGAGAGCTGAAGGGGGGCGGGTGCAGTTCGGCTCCCTGTCCCAGAAGGGTCAAACATGCTGCGGCCCAAAGCAGTGCTGCTGGAGCAGTTCCCTGTGAGAATGCTGATGCCAGAGCTTCTCTGATGATCCCAGTAGAGGACAGTTGAATTCATCTGTGCTGCCTGACACATGAGGAAACTACATTTGATGGAGCCGACATGGCTGATTAGCAGATGGGACATTCACTGTGTGAAAGGTGTTCAAGCACCCATAATTCATTCATGATGTCAATTTGTAGGCGAATCAGGAATGCTAATTGATTATGGGTTCCATCAGGAATTTCGAATGGGTTTTTAGAACAGTAAATATTTTTCTATAGCGCACACACACACACACACACACACACACAAAAGTGTCATATAGATTTTCAACTACAGTACATGAGGGTCAGAAAACGGCATCATTTTCATTTTTGGGTGAAGTATCTTTTAAATTCCTCTAAACTTCCTGCTGCTTCAATGAACAGTGTGTACATTACTCGAGGGGATTAGTGTTAGAAGTCATTAATGTTGTCCTAATTACAGAAGAGTCCTAACTGGTTAAGTACACCAAATGCTACCTTCATCCTGCATGATCATCCACTTCAGTGCACACTTCTGGCTTTGGGAGTTTTGAGAACAAGCTTAGGTCCAGAAATTTCTATTTCAAATAAATGTGGTTCTTTCGAACTTTCTATTCATCAAAGAGTCCTGAAACAAATCAGCACATTAGAATGATTTCTGAAGGATCATATGACACTGAAGACTGGAGTAATGGCTGCTGAAAATTTAGCTTTGCATCATAGGAATAAACTAGATTTGAAAATATATTAAAAAAGAAAAGTTATTTTAAATTGTAATAATATTTCACAAAACAATTACTGTACTTTTGTTTAAATAAATTCAGCTTTGGTGTGTATAAGAGACTTCCCTTTAAAAATTGTAAAAACTTTAAAACAGTAGTGAACTTATACATGGTAAACAAATTTAGGGTAAAATATTTTTAAATCTGTTTTAGTGCTACATTCCCTAAGTATTTATAAGCAACATTTATCTTGTGCCATCTGACATTTTGTCACAATGCATTCTGGGATTTTATTCTCTGTGAAGAAAATAGTCAAAACAAGGTATCCTTATTAAATTAAGGCAGAGATTCTGAAACAGCCTTTGCATCATGGGAGTGCGATGACAATGCCTTAAAATGCTCCCTTTGTTGGCAGCTCACCAGTTTTACAATCAGAGTGAAACATCAAGCAACTGAGTGAAGTGAAACATCAAGGGAAGGGTTTTTCAAACAGCAGTACATTTCTGTTCTTATTCTGTGAGACAGATGGAGTTGTGATATAAGCACCAGTAAATACCACAGGCCCTGAGGCCGACACTTATATAACCACATCAGCTGATCTGGAAACAGTATGCTCTTTGGACACACATCTGAGAGGATGAAGGAAAAACAGTTCTGCCTGAATGAGCAAATCCTCAGGCTTTAATCAAACAGTAATGAACAAAACTCAACGATCCCAACAGACAAATGATTGCCATAAACACAACACAACTTTATGAATAAATAAATACTTCTAAGAAACTATATTGGCAGTTTTTCCAAAACATTTTTTTTAGTATGCAAGCTGACTCACAGTAAGATCTTATGGATGGACATTCTGATTGGCTGTGATTTGTCACATGGCAAAGTAATTTGCGTTCAGTACAGCACTGTCTCTTATCTTTCTTTGTCATTACACTGTATTGTTTTTAACAAATGTATGTATTTTAAAATAATATTACAATTCTGGTCAATACTTATAAGACTATAATTATTTTCATGTTATGGCTAATCAACGATTAATTACCAGTATCAAAAGTATACTATTTTGTCTAAATAGATTTGTCTAAATAGATCATTAATTGAAATAAAAACTTTAACTTATTTTACTTCAGCTAGTTGCCAAGGCCACATTTCTCATTTTCTTTAGTTTAAGTTGAAGTACTAAAAAAAAATAAAATAAAACTAAATAAACTAAAATAACAAAATACATAAACATTTTTTTTAAACGACAAAAGCACACAAATTTACTAAAACGAAAACAAAAGATAAAATAAAATCTAATTCAAAATATTAACAAAAACTGTAATCAATGATACTAAAATAACACTGATCACAACATAATAATGTGCAGTATGCAAAAGATTACTAGATTATTAGTATTTAAAGATTAATTTTAAGTGAGCATTAGATGACAACAAGTGAGAATAAACAATTAAATATCCAATATCCACTGGGACCAATAAATAAAAAAATGTGTCGTTCTGATATGGTACCGATATGCTTTTCATCTTTATGTAAAATATAATGTACACTAAAACTGAAACTGGTGTTAAGAGAGACTTGTCAGACTCACCTTCTCCAACCATTGACACTCCTATGGACATGCCCATGAATTTGCTTTTAGTCCAAACATGAGTGTTGACGCATATCTGCTGCTCTTTGCACTCGCAGTAGAATCCAGAGACTGGGGGGTGGTGGGACACCTGCTCAGCCACAAAACGTAGCCGGTAAGATTCTAACCCCTCACTGGAGGTGATCTGGGAGGAATGAGCAGCCTCGGGGGCTAGACTTGAGCTGGTAGTCCTGAGGGGCCGCACCATATCTCGCTGTACGCCCCATGTGCAGTGGAAGCTCTCCCCCAGAATGGGGTTGTAAGGCTTCTTGGCCACAGCACCTTTACGACCCTCGTGGAATGCGGTCAAGTAGTATTCCACAAACCGGATCATGCGTTCCTCTGGCGTCGCTCCAGATGTGATGGCCAAAAACACATCCGGATGGGCCATGAAGTTGGCATACATCTCCAAAAGGGAGCGCTTCTCTAGGATGAACGTGGGCAGCACCACCTGAGAACAAAATATATATAGGCATACATTATCTGACCGATCTTTTTTGTTTTGCTGGTATTTGAGTTTGAGTGAGAAAAGATTTCATGAATGTTGCTGAATATAGCTGCTTAAATGAGGAAACTTGAGCAGCAGAGAACATTATATTATATTATATTATATTGTATTATATTATATATTATATCCCTCCACTCCTCTGTGTTTGCACCTTCCAGAGAGAATGTCACCATTTCTGTAGTTTAAAGGGGTCATATGATGCGATTTCTATTTTTCCTTTCTCTTTGGAGTGTTACAAGCTCTTGGTGCATAAAGAAGATTTGTAAAGTTGCAAAGACTAAAGTCTCAAATCCAAAGAGATATTCTTTATAAAAGTTAAGAGTTAACCACGCCTACCTAAAACGGCTTGTTCTAACATGCCCCCACATATCTACCTCACTATGTGGGAAGATTTGCATAACGCCGCCCAAATGTTCACGCAAAGAAAGAAGGCGTAACTTTTATTCTCACTGTAGTATTGTTGCCGCTGCCGCGATGTCGTGAAGACGCTGTGTGCTTCGTTGTGAAAGCGAAACTACTTTGTTTGGTCTTCCAAAAGAGGACGATAACCGCTTCGTCATGCCTAAATCGACGCGTTTCAGAAAGGCGGGGCATAGCGGAGAAACAATAATGTACAGTATGTGGAAAATAATGTGTTTTTTAAACTTTAAATCCTCAAAACACACAAAAATCACACTGATTCTTTAGGATGAGTGAGTGAATCACTGAATCATTCACTCAACCAATTCGTTCAGAAACAGTGACTTATTCACTATAATAACAAGCAATGACTCTGCTGAGGCTTTGTTCAGAGCTAATTTCATCGGTGGAGCAAAACAAAGTAACTGGCAGTACTGTGTCTTAAATTACTCAGTAATAACTTCTTGTTTAATGAACTTCTGTATTAAAGCAAGATCACACTTGCAATCTGTTTTCCGATCAGCATGGCAATGGTTACTTGTGGCACTCACATCCGCACAGATATAAAAAAACAGCAATCTTAGTTGTGTGATATTGCTTATATTATTTTATATTATTCAACTTCATGCAAACGTGATCTGCTGGCAGTGTAAACGCACCTTAATACTGATCCTCAAAGATGTAATAATAATATAATAACTGAATGCTTGTCTCTGTATCACAGAATCTGACTCCATGGATCAATGCTCTGTCCATTCCCCCTGAGGCCCACAGTACACACACACACACACACACACACACATCACTGAACATCATCTGAGCTATCCAAATGACTGCTCAAATCCTGCTGAACTATAAACACAAGCACAGAAGGAAATGCTCCTCTCAGAGAGACTAAACAAAGCCGAGGTAGGTAGTAGAGAGAGAAGCATATATCACAACTAACACTGAAATATTCCTCAGGCTGATGAAGTGTAATTAGGGCAATAATATCCCGACACCTCTCGACATGCTTGAATTAGTCCATTAGATTCCTAATCAAGAGGACGAATAGGAACATCAAATCAGATAACATTTCCTGTTAACTGATTATGTAAAGTATAATTATGAAACTGAATTTCCCCTGAGCTATGATTATGTTAATAATATTCTTCTTCACGTAGTGTGGCACATCCTCAATCTGTGTCTGAGACTGGACAATGTCCATGCAAGGCTTTAATACACGGGAGGAAACATGAAATTGTGGAAAAGAGGCACAAAGCTGTACACTTGAGGTCCAGTTATTAACTGTTATATATGCCTTCACTCCAGTTATTCACAACTAGTCCGTCTGAGCGCTGTCTAACACACGTTTACTTTTAAATAAGGCTAATAATAAAAATGTCCAAATCATAAAAAGCTGGAAAAGCATCCTTTGTTCCCTGAGATCAAGAGTGGATAAATAGTCTTGAGTGGTTCCAGTTTGTACATAAAAAGGAAGAGCGAATGTATACAAGTTGGGAATGGCCAAATTCTTTCACCACCATTAACTTCATGATTAGTTTGGGTGGGACAGCAAGTGTGTATTTGTGTGTGTGTGTGTGTGTGTGTGTGTGTGTGTGTGTGTGTACATATACCCGTGTGAGGTCCATGCCCAGTTTGAGTTGAGACAGCAGATGGAGGATGATGCTCCTCTGGTCATCTAAGACTCCGAGGTCTTCCTCCTCATTATCTTCTGTGTCTGTGATCTCCTCGCTGGAGTCCACCGATTCTGAGCTGGAGTTCTGCAATCACACGCAAGATCACTTGTGATTTACTGTTAATTATATTTTTACACCTAATTTCTCTGCACCACATCCATGGCATGCTGTGAAAGCCAGTATCCACCACACACACACAAAAAAAATAATAATAATGGTAAATCATAACATAAACAGTCATGACATAAACAGTCAAAATTATGAGATATTAACTTATAATTCTGACATAAAAAGTCTATTAATTTATTACAACTTTTTCAATCATAACTATGACAAAGTTAAATTAATTAGATTTTTTTTGTCTTATGACTTCTTAATCTCATAATTTAGACTATTTTATCTTGTAATTATGACTTACTATCTATTTTTTATGTAATTATTGTAATTTACCAAGGCTTTATTTATGATTGGTGGAAATGGGCTTTTATACCATGCTGTCAGTTACTACAGACAATAATTTTCACTTGTGAAGGAACCTGATAATGTTTTATTGAAATTTATTTTTGAAAAAAGTAAAAGAAACTAAAAAGAGAGAATTGTTTATCATTTAAATGTAATTTGAAGTTGTCATTGTATTATAAGTTGCCATTTAACTTAATTCAGCTTTGTATGTAAAATACATCTAACATTTTTTTTTCCTCTTAAAATGACAAATGCTCATTGGTTGCAAGGCAACTGTGTGTCCAGGCTTGGGTGGCTAATATAGTTGGTACCTCCTGCAATCGCTCATACAAAAACATTAAATTTTTCCTAATGCACAATGTAAAGAAGTGGACCAGAAGCACCTGCCCCAAAGCATCATGGGAAGTGTATAAAAAGCCCCTTCCTCTAAGGGCTCTACGTAGATAATGTTAGCAGATGAGCGGAGCAGATCACATGATCCTCTCTCTGTGGATCACTCCTTTTTCCTTTTCAAGGCACATGAATGTGAGTAACTGAGGGGCAGCAGATGGGATCTAAATGGGTTCAAATATGATTAGACTGTAAAGTAAAACAGTAGGGTTTGTGGGCAAGCCGTAATCCCTGAGGTAACGCTTACAACTGGGCACAAACCATTGCCCGTGGCGTTATGGCTCGATTTTTATTAAATTCTCTTGCAAGCCATTTATCATCTTCTCTCTTAGCGGTAAAAAGGGAATATTGTGTTCCTGTCAAAAGTGCAGGAGCTCATCGAGACGGATGGGACGTCCTCATTTCAAGCTGCAGCGATCAACCTGAATATTTCATAGAACAAGAGCAGAGCACTTCCTCTCTCCCTTTACGTCATCACAGATATGATTAAATAAACAGACGCAAATGAGGTCACATGCAAGGTCATACATCCAGCGTGACCACAAATCTATAACACAAATGCATCACCAATACTAAATACAATGTTTCACGCTGGCATCTTGTTCAATTAACTCTAGATACGGTACTCAGGACTGTCCTTGTATGATTCGCAAAGGAACATGTCGAGGACACTCGAAACAATTTGTGTCCTTCTTTCTCTGTGGACGCTCAGTTGGGTGGTTTTGTTTTGTTGGAGTGTTTAGTAGCTACAGTACCTAGCAAAAAGTTGATTGTGGAAGCAGCTCATGCAAATCAATTCAGAGCTAATTAAATACACAGCGAGTTTAGAGATGCAGCGAAATGATGAGGAAAAGCAAGAAACATTACCTTGATATTTCTCCTAGAAAACAATGAGAGAAAATAGAGACTTTGTCTTCTTAAGACGTATCTGTCAGAGACAAACACTCCAGTAACCTCACGTCTCTTTTAAAGTTTCAGAAGAGATCTTAATGTCTCAAAATGTGCTCAGATTTACCCTGTCTACAGGCAAAAGTCACAGATTTCTCATCAAATTCTCCCGAAACCAAAGCTTTGTGATCCATATTACTTTTACAGCTCTATACTCTTACTGTATGTTAAAATCCTTGCATTTGTGTTTATTTCTCCTAAGGCAAAGAGACAAAGTGGATACATACATAAAACATATCTTAGAACACCACTTTGTCATCTGAGCTTTTAAAGAGCAACCTCTGAGCAATGGTATTTTCCGCCGGTAGTTTTAATATGCTAAAATACTGGCACAAAAACATGACCAACATGAGCCAATAACAAAAAACATTACAACAATGAATGAAGTTTCCAACTTTCCTCACTCCCAGCATTCCAGAGGGTCATCCCTCCCTCTTGCCAACAGGATAAACATGCATCAAACTTACATTCATTTCAGGGCTGGTTCAGAAATATGCTCTTGGGTGTTCATCTCATAGTTTGACTGTGGTGGTATCCACAAAACTCTCTCTTTCACAATCTCTCACTAACTCTGACACACTTATCTCGCTGCCCAGCTGTCCCTGAACCGAGGAAGCACTGCTCCCTCCCACTCTGCCAGCCTGTACTCTCTCTCTCTCTCTCTCATACTCTGGCTCCTGCCTCGACTCACCACAGACTGCTGGTTTAAAATACAGCTGAACTTCATGAGATTTGTAAGAGATTAAATTGAGACACTCCATATGACCTTCAATCTGTCAGAGCCACTTCCACTTTAAATCACTTTCGTGGTGCAGTTACACCAATTCCACATCTGCCCCGCCCCTATTATAATGCAACCAATTGCAAGTACTTTTACATGCACACATGTCGAGCATCACCTCTGTTTCTTAGAGCAAGCACACAATGGTGAGGTCAAATGTAGTTAGCTTACCATGTTGGACAAATTAGTCACTAGTCACAAATTAGTCACAAATTGGACACTAGTTAACAAACTCTTGGTGCAATAGGGAAGTAATGCTTTAAATCTGAGCATTTCTCAAAAACACTTGTTTTTGAAAAATGCAGTAAAAACAGTAATATTGTGAAATAGTATTACAGTTTAAAATAAATATATTTTTAAATATTTTAAAATGCAATTTATTCCTGTGACGCCAAAGCTGAATTACCAGCAGCCATTACTCCAGTCTTCTGTGTCACATGATCCTTCAGAAATCATTCTAATATGCTGATTTGCTGCTCAAAAAACATATGTTGTGCTGATTAATATTTCTGTGGAAACTGTTGTACACTTTTTATGATTCTTTGATGAATACAAAGTTCAAAAGAACAGAATTTAATTTAAATAGAAATCTTTTGTAGCATTATAAATATTTTAAATGTCTTTCACTTTTGATAAATTTAATGCATCCTAGCAGAATAAAAAATGTCTTTCAAAAAAAAAAAAAAACAGTAGTGTATAAATGCAATAAAGCAAGAAAAAACCCAGTATCTGCCATGATGTTAGTACGGTTTGAGTGTGTGATGTGTTCAGTGTCATTTCAGATGATGGGTTTAATCCCCATATGCGCTCCCAAGACATGGCCTGATCCGCACATGATTACACGGGAACCTCCTGAACCTAGTGTGTGTACAGTATGTATGTGTGTGTGGTATTTCATTATGGAACACTAGGATACTGCACAGTATACAAAGTATGGTATACAATAGTCACTTGACCTCATTATATAATCTTGAAAAAAGGTCCACTTGCATTTTTAATTACATTTTAATTAAAAACATGATCAAATCTTGACTGACATCATCAATTTTCATTTGTTTTAACAGAAAAAGTCAGTAAGCATATTCTAGAATCTCCTCCATTCTGCAGAAGTAGTATGCTATTCAGAACACAGACTCAGTGTGTGATAAGCAACAGAAGAAAGAAAAAAGGGGAGAGAAAATGAGAAAATCCCCTAGTCAGAGGATTAATTGTGTACTATAGACTTCACATTAGTCAATGGCATGATCTCAGAATATATACACTGCTATGTCTTGTGTTCACAAGCACAACTCAAAATATAGCTCTAGCGCCAGGCTTCAGCTTAGGATACAGAGATGGATAGGAGACTGTCTGTTGAAACCTTCCTTTTCAGGACTGATCATAAAAATCAGCTGACTTTGGTCAGGTGACGTGATATCATGTTAGAGCTCCTGGGAAAACAGCATGGGCTGGTGGGAAAGCAGTGTTTAAAACAGCAACACCTTCATGAATTAATAATAATTCACGGCAGCACGTTGTCTTCGGGGATACGGTTAACAGACGTGCCCATGCACTGAGAACAAGATGAAACCACGTTTCTGAGACAAAGAGCTTTTAAAGAACTCTACCATATCAAATTATAATAGTCTGCAGAAACAAGCAGATCGCAGGGGTGAATAAAATAATGAACAAAAAAAAACACCATTTGAATTCACCATTCCAATCGTATTAAAAAATAATAATATAAATCATAATCATAATAATTAAAAAAAAAAAAGAAAAATTAGTTTGTACTGAGAACAAGATGAAACCACGTTTCTGAGACAAAGAGCTTTTAAAGAACTCTACCATATCAAATTATAATAGTCTGCAGAAACAAGCAGATCGCAGGGGTGAATAAAATAATGAACAAAAAAAAACACCATTTGAATTCACCATTCCAATCGTATTAAAAAATAATAATATAAATCATAATCATAATAATTAAAAAAAAAAAGTAAAATGTAGTTGTAGCTTACTTTAGGTTTAAAAGAATATTTTATAAATGTAATGTAAAATAATATTATAATAATATTAAACTAAAATGTAGTGTTTAGTTAAAAATGTAATTTTAATAATGTACTACTTCTACTACTATTTTATCAATTATTAATTATAATAATAAATACAATGAATACTATGTTTTAAAATGTAAAAAGTAAAAAGTAGTATGCAGTTTACTTACATTTTTTAATTATTATTTTATTGATGTAATGTAAATAATATTATAATACATTTTAATAATTAAAAAGTTGCTGTATTTTAATATTTAAAAATGTAGCTTGTAGTTTACTTTATCAAATTGTAACATTTATTAAAATATTTTACATTACATTGATAAATTATTATAGTAGTAGTATTTTAAAAACTACATTTTACTTGTTAAATTTTATAAAATATTATTATAATATTATTTGACATTACATCAATAAAATATTTTTTTATTTAAAGTACTTATTACATTTTAAAATATTATTAAAATACTATTTTACATTAAATTGACAAAATATTATTAGTAGTAATATCTTAAACTACATTTTACTTTTTACATTTTAAAATAATATTTTTTTCATATTAAATTGATAATAATAATAATAATAATAAAATGTAGCTTATTTGGTGCCATATTAAAAGTAGATTGAATTATTTCAGTCATAAATTAGTGGTAAATGAACGAAAAAAAATACAATAAAAAAAAATGTACTCAAGCGAACTATTAAAAGCACATTTAGATATTTTTCAAAGAAATTGATGTCTAGTGAAAGAAATGTGTCTAGTGAACTGACCGCTGTAAAATCTTTCCCATTTCCAAGCACACAAAATCAAACCCTCTTTGTTGTACTTCTGAGAGTGTTACCTTTCGGCCCCAACAGAGGCGGGGACAAATGAGTTCTAGCCACACACAGACAATCATCTCACCCGAGAGGCACAAAACACCCCTCCACACACCAATTTGAATCTGGACGAGGATCTGCACCACTGGCCTCTCCTGTCAAACATCTGGGATATGTATGCTTGATGGGCCATGTCTCATAGCTCAGGTTTGTTTTTCTGCTCCCTGCAGTTTTTCTGCCGTTATTTTCCTCTGACAGCGCAGAAGAGCGAGCTGTCAGACCATGCTGGTTCACAGACAACAATGAAATCTCTCTCTCCTTGAGAGTGTTGACAGCTTAATTTCAATCCCAGTTGTCCAAAAATCCAATAAAAACATTGTCTAAAAAAAAGAACCATTAAATGCTTTGTGTACATTACAAAAACCTACTTCACTTCCTTCCCAGACAGCTTTATTCAGTCGTGACCGCTAGTCGTGACTGCTTTTCTCTGTGGTTCACTTGCAGTCTTCAATCACTGCAACCCATTCTGCTCTCTGCTTTCCTCTACTGGTGATTACGATGAAGTACAACCATTCTAACAAAAACAATAGGCAATCTGCCACAAGAGATCTTATTATGTTTCATTTACATCAGAGCAAACACAGTCAGCAGGCATTAAAACACACGCAAAGGTACACATTTGTCAATTAAAAGATTCAATATCTCATTCAGACAAATGCTTTGGTGTTTGGCCAGTGGTGATAAAGGAGAAGCCCTTTCGCTCCAGTCCCCAACGCAGCCAAGATTTATGACCTCTCGAGCAGCACTGTTGTTTTACAGCATGTCTTACTGATTCTTCTGCTGGACGAGAAGAATCACAGGGGCGGCTGCTGAATAAATCGCTTGGCTAATCATTTGTTGTGTTCTCCCTATCCTTGAGCAATCCACGTGAACTTTAAACTTCAGGTGAGTAGCTACGCCATCGACCCATGGCCCTGTCTGTCAAAATTTATGACAATTTCCCAAACACATGCAGTTCTAAAATCTAACTTTAAATAGGTATGCCATTTATTTACTCAAGGTCAATGTATTATAAATGTTATATAGCAGTTAGTTCCGGACTATAACAGAACTGGACTGTTTTAATTAAAAATAAAATACAAAATAAAATATCTTAATATGTTTTATCTAAAATGACACTTACTTGTCGGTTATATTTAAACGATAATTCACCCTATTCTGTCATCATTTACTCAACCTCATGTTTCAAAACAGTATGAATTTTTATCTGTGAAACCCAAAAGGAAGACGTTCTGAAAGTTGTATTAGTCACTCATTTAAATTACAATTAATTACTTTTTTCCGTCGTGCCATCATCATCTTCTTAATATTCAACAGTACGAACTGAGTCATTTAAAGGTTTAATGGTATGAGTCACAATGTTAAATTAATTAGATATGTTATCCCGGGAAAGGGATATATCAGAGGAAAAAAACAGCACAGATTCTGTCTGTTGCATTCTGGGAGCTCAAACGTGTGTGTGTGTCTGTGTGATGCACATGAACCAATGAGGTTTGATCTAGCTTGTGACACCTGCATGTGATGTTCATCCTGCAATCCTAAATTAAATCTGTTCATCATATAAAGTGATCGGATCTCTTCACAAGACTCAGATTAAACGGCTTCATTCATATAGATTAATCTTACAAAACCTTTAAGAACTTTTTGGGTCTTCTAAGTATTAGCTGACTGGATTTTCAATGGACGGACAAAAAACCTCTCAGGTATAATTTAAAATATCTTAATTTTTGTTGCGAAGATGAACCAAATCTTATGGATTTAGAACGACATGATGGTGAGAAAATAATGACTTCATGATTCATTTTTTAAATTAATTTTCATTTCATCCCTTTATTTATTAATTTTTTTGTTCACTCAAATGAAGCTTCAAATATTGTTTACGATTCATACAGACTACTTTAATGCTGCTTTAAGTCTTTTAAGTTCTTTCATATATTGAAAACAGCATCCAGGATATTTTTCAAAAAGTCGCATTTTGTGTTCTATGGATATAAGAAAGTCATAGAGGTTTGGAACGACATGAGGGTGAGCAAATGATGACAAGGTTTTCATTTGTGGATGAACTATTCCTTTAATTCCCATAGCAGCTGAAGTGGCTTTTTGCAGCTGGCAATCACATTACACAGCACAAAATCTTTGGATAATTACGTATCTCCAGGGCTACAATACCCAGAGTGTGATAAAAGATCACCGGAGCACTCCTGCAGCGTGACACGGCCACAGTGCGCTGTGCCACAGCATCCATACAACAACACACTGTACATCCAAAAAAAGGAGACGCCTGGAGCCATGTCTCATGTGCAGTATGATGGGATTGATTGATGGAGCTCATATAAATGCATTTCAGACCTCAGATACATCAGCATATTTCACTGTCTGTGCTGGAACCGTTTCATCCCCAAATAATCCATGAGCCAAGCAGTCGACGCTGATGTTACATGTACAAAACTAACTTAATATACTTAATAATAAAATAACTTAAGTGCACACGTACCATGCATTTGTTTGTCTTTAGCATCGTGCCATCACCATCTTCTTAATATTCAACAGTGCGCCATTTAAAGGTTTAATGGTACGAGTCACAGATACATTATCCTGAGTATATCAGAGGGAAAAAAAAACGTAGCACAGATTCTGTCTGTTGCATTCTGGGAGCATGTTCATCCTCATAGGGAGCCGATTTAATGACAAGCACACACAAAGCAACCGCAAAATGATTTAGCTCCCTTCAGGCACATGCACACACACAAATTAACTTGTATTTATACATACGCCACCGCGTGCACGCAAACAAACACTTCCACACGCTTACACAGAAGAAACATCAGCCCTGGCCTTTCTCCAGAGAAACGCAGGCGGATAAAAGGTTTCCAAAAGAGGGAAGGGCTGACTCATTCAGGGCTCCAGAGGGATTGTGGGTATCCTCAGTCACCCGCCACAGACTCTAAACCTAGAACATGTCCAATTAGTGCTCCTCTTCCACTCCTTCGCTGTAGAAGCCTGGCAAGCGCGCACACGATAGTGCAGACGTGTATTTGAAACTTTTCAAAGAACTCTACAGGAGACTTTAAATGAGTCAAGAGACCATTCTGATTTTTTAGGCTATTATCAGAAAAGCAGAACAGATCCCAGTGACAGATTTTACCCCAGAAAGATCATCTCCCTTTAAAAGTGATAAGTGGCACGTCACTGAGCTGCCAGCTTCAGAATGATAAAGATGGGTGTAATGATGACTATATTGCAGGGGCGTTTACTTTGAGGAGGCGAGGGAGAAAGTGCCACCTCAGAAATATGAATGAGAAAACTACTGCCGGTCCAAAAACAAAATAAAATGAAATAGAAGACGAAATAGTGTCTAAAGTACTTTTCTAAAGTAATACTTTCCAACAGTGACAACAGCAAAAATAAAATAAAGGTACTGTTATCTACATATAATGTAAAAGATGCTAGGAAAAATATAATTTATCTGTTTTTGAGTACCTCTGTGTCTTTGAGCTGTTCTTTGTTCCTGTGAAATGGAGAGTGGGGCTGATGTATTGTTGAGGTGTTGTTACGTGTCAATTCTCCGTTCTTCACATGGTCTTCTGAGGCAGTCTTGGGCCTTGACCAATTAGAGATGTTATCTGCACACAGGATGATATCACTAATCATACACAGCAGGGCTTTATCATGAATACTCATTCAAATTAATTACAAAATCCACCATTAACAAAATCTGTGGACGTTGAACTTCAAATCATGTGTGCAATGCTATAAATCAGGCAATAATCTTATATATGATATAATAAGAAGACACAATTTCGGCAAACTGCACTAACACACATCACACATTTCAGAAGAGACAGACAGTGCCATATTCTCGCCTGTATTCGATCCCTGAATGTGGCTGTGGGTGATGTGTTGGGCCGCCTGGCAGACGTTGTGCTGAAGGATACTCAGGCATTCTCCCAGACAGCTGAGTGTGGCTGCAGACGTGGCTTTGAGGAGGAGCAGGTCCTGGTCCAGGGAGGACAGCGGCCCGCGGCTCGGCAGCGATTCGATGGAATTCACCAGGTTCTTCTGCTGGCCCTCTGCCTGGAACATGACCTAAAAAAACAGGTCAACAGACAGACTTCTCATCGATTCCATTGGGACTATTAAAACATCTTAATTAAATCAATTTGAACAGCACACATTTGTATTTAGAGCTACTTCAGTTGAGCTTTCTATTATCTACAGAACAGCCCTCCTTTAAATGAATCCTTGATTAGAATTGCACTTAAAAAATGTATAAAATTAGTTCCGTAATATTTACATAGGCGCACGCTGCCAGCTTGTACACAGCATTTGTACAGTAGCTTATTTTACTTCTGTAGAGTGAAATATTTCTGTGTGAATCGAGTTAAGGCAAGACCTAATCTTATTCATTATGAAATGAACAGATCATTAAAAGTAGGTCTTCCAAAAGGAAAGTCATTTCAGACCCCGAAGCAAGTTTTGATTAAGCTTTTTTTTAAATAAAGGACCCATATATTATGATTGTTTTTGTATATGTATTCATTTTTAATTTCATACTGACTAAATACAAAGTAATGTCAAATGTAACATTACTATAAAAAAGGATGGACAACTGATGGAAGAATCTACAAGTACAACATGTATATATGTGTGTGTGTGTGTGTATGTACACACACACACACACACACACACGTATACTTATATATTATGCAAGAATATTAAGCAGCACAACTGTTCAACATTGCTAATAAGTGATGTTTCCTAAGCACCAAATCAGCATATTAGAATAATTTCTGAAGGATCACGTGGCATTTAAGACTGGAGTAATGGACTGGAATAATTCAGCTTTGCCAACACAAGAATAAATTACATTTTTACATATATTAACATAGCATGTATTGTTAACAATATAAAAATGGTTAACAATGTAATAATATTATTTCACAATATTACTGTTTTTTTAATACATGCAGCCTTCGTGATCACATATACACACAAACACTGATTTAAAAAAAACTTTGCAATTGTCATGCAATATGCTTAAAATGACAACAAAGTTGACTGATTAAATCATAAAGAAATAAATTGATACATATTGAGGTAAAGAAGAAATGAGAAGTGTAATACAATAATCTAATCCAGGGGGTTTTATTCCAGGTGTCAGATTTAGAGCAGACTGAAAGACCTGTAAGCCTCCCGGAGTGAAAGCAATCTCCTGGATTAGCTCAATCCTATCTTCCTCTCTGCACAAGTGTTCAAAACAAACCACATGCAGTCAACTGCATATCCCTCAGACTGAGAATGTGACTCATCACTGTAGGTATGCACACATATTTCTCTCTCTCTCGTTCTCTTCCTTCCTCCATTCCAACACTTCAGTGATTGCAACACTATTACAGCACAGCTGTAGTTTTAATGGAGGAAACTTACACTCTTAAAAGGAACATTAGAGTGTCCTCAAGATATCTAACTCACTGAAACAGATAAGGTTTTATCTAAATATAATAATAAACAATCAGAAACAAATACGATTATATAAAAGATGCACATACACTGTTCAAAATACTTTTTTTTTTTTAAGAAGATTCTTATGCTCAACAAGGCTGCATTTATTTTATTAAAAATACAGTAAAAAAACAAACAGTATGAAATATTATTACAATTTAAAATAACTGTTTTCTATTTTAATATATTTTCAAATTTATTTTAATCCTGTGATGCAAAGCTGAGTTTTCAGCAGCCATTACTCCACTTTAGTGTCACATGATGATCCTTCAGAAATCATTCTAATATGCTGATTTGGTGCTCAACAAACATTTCTTATTATTATAAATGTTGAAAACAGTTGTGCTGCTTAATATTATCTACAGTGTAAACCATGACACACATTTTTTAAAGATTCTTTGATGAATAGAAAGTTCAAAGGAACATAATTTATATTTAGATATCTTTTGTAACATTACAAGTCTCTACTGTCATTTTTGAACAATTTAATGCATCCCAGCTGAATAAAAGCATCTATTAAAAAAAAAAATAGTGACGACAAACTTTTAAACAGTACTGTATAACAATAAAACATTTAAAGCAATAATTAATTGAAAAAAATTAAGTTCTGCCATTATTTCCCACTCTTGTCATTGCAAGTTGTTGCAAAACCTGTATGTTGTTACGTTTAAAGGAAAATTTTCCAAACATTTGAAATGTCATACAGAAAAGGGCTGTGTGAAATTTCTCCTTATGTGCTCCAAGGACAAAAGAAAGTCATACAGGTTTAGAACAACCTGAGGGTGAGTAAATGATGACAGAACTGTTGTTTTCAGGTAAACGATCGCTTTAAATGTGGTTTAACAGGTTAGACAGTTTTGTCGCATATGACGTCATCTTTAAAGGGGTCATATGATGCTTTTTTAAAGATCATTATTTTGTGTATTTGGTGTAACAGAATACACATGCTTTAATGTTCAAAAAACACATTATTTTTCAAATACTGTACATTATTGTAGGTCCTCTATGCCCCGCCTCTCTCAAACGCTTCGTTTTCTACAAAGTCCCTCCTTCCGACAAGCACAGTCTGCTCTGATTGGCCAGCTGACCCAGTGCATTGTGATTGGCCGAACACTGCAAGCACTCGTCGGAAATGTAACGCCCCTTACCATAATCGCGAGCTTCATCTTTCAAAATAAATGTAAAGACAGTAAATAATGTCATTAGTTTTACCATCAGTTCAAGCCCGAAAGGGGAACAGAGTCGCGTGACAGACACAGTGATGAACTGGTATGTGTTTGCAGTACACAAGCCTCGATTAAGACAGCTGACTCTACTGTGATGTGACCCTGTCTCTCTCTCACACACACACGTGCGTGCACACACACACACACACACACTCACACAACGAGCCGTTTTAGGGGGGCGTGGCAGAGTCTTAACTTTGATAAAGAATATCTCTTTGGTTTTGAGACTTTAGTCTTTGCAACTTCAGGGATCTTATCTACGCACAATCAGCTTGTAACACTCCAGAGAGAAAGGAAAACTTGAAATCGCATCATATGACCCCTTTAAATAATTAATTGAAACAGGGATATCACTGCCAGCTCTTTCTACAACAAGTGAAATACTTTTGGGATTTCTATAGTAACTGTCCTGCCTGTCTGCTACAACATGGCAAACTTTGAGCATAGAAGAGATTTTGCAGTTGCTCATAACCCAGCTCTCATGAAAAATTGATGCATCTCTTTATACTCTCTCCTTGATCCATTTCTTTTTTTTGAGCGAGTATTAAAGGAAAGAGAGAGGCATCAAAGCTGTCACCTGCCCTCAGCACAGAATTCCCATGGATCCCTGTGGAGTACTGACATAAAGCACAGATAATTCTAGCACACCTCTCAGGGTGTTTTACTCATGAAGCGATATTGTAGAATGAACAGAAAATCAATTCCTTGTACTCCAGCTCTTTTTACCTCCCCTCTCTGGTCCCTCCTTCTCAAAATCTGTCCTTCTTGTCGTGTCTTTTTCATTTTTCGCCGTCAAAATGTTCATAGTAAGAAAGGTTACAGCTCTCTGTCACTCTCCATCACTGTCACTTTTACACACACACATTTCTTTTTCTCTCTCGCACATGCTCTTAAAGGACATGCAATGTTATTGGAACTTAATTTTGACTACAAAATGAATATATTTCGAATACACCAAGTTTGGGGTCTGTAGGTCTCCAATGTTCAAACATACAGAAAAAGTGTCATTTGTGAAATCTTTTTCAATTTTTTAATTTTATAAATTTATTTTTATTTTTTATTTATATTTTATATTTATATTTTTAAACACATTTTATTTATTTTATATATATATATATTATATTACAATTTCAATATATTCAACATTCTAATATGCTGATTTGGTGCTCAAGTAACATTTCTTTTTATTACAAATGTTGAAAACGTTGTGCTGCTTAATATTGTTACGGAAACAGGAACCCTTTTTTAGTATTTTTGATAAATAGAATGCAGAACAACATTTATTTTAAACAGAAATAATTTATAATATTATAAATGTCTTTACTGTAACCTTTGATCAATTTATGCATCCATGCTGAATAAAAGTATTAATTTCTTTAAAACAAACAAAAAAATGTTACTGACCCCAAACTTTGAATGGTAGTGTACATCCTCGCTAAATAGAGGGTCAAAAAAGCCACCTTAAGGCTGCATATGGTTTTCTTTTAGGGTGTATTCACACCAGGAAAGTCCGCTAGTTCACTTGCTTTGGTCAAATACAATGTAGATTTTTTTTTTTTTTGGTGCGGTTTGCTTTCACACTGCCCTTTTTGCAAGTGAACCAGAAACTGTAAACAAAACCACACGTGTGCTTAAGGTCATCCATTCATTGGGTCATCCATTCAACCGTACCAGAGTTCGTTTGGAAGCGGACCGAGACCACCTCTTCAGCTGGGTCACGTTACGGTTGTTTGGTCCGCACCCGAGTGCGATTGCTGTATTCACACCTGCCCAAAAGATCCACACCAAAGGGGGAAGCGAACCTGAGTTCGATTCAATCGAACCAAACAAGACAGGTGTGAATACACCCTTAGTTAGATTCAAATCCTGTTATGCATTACTTCACAAACCTATGGAATATTTGATTCTGAATGGTCAATCATAGCATTCTGCAGTCAAATATTTTCAGAATACCTTCAGAATTATACTAGACCAAGTCCTGTCCACCTTCAAACAGACACATCAACACATCCCTATGAAGATGATCATCTCTAATACTCACTAATGATTTCTGTGTGAATGCAATTTCCACTCACACTTGTGAGAGGAAACAGTGTGACTAATTCCACATCAAGCCATGGATAAAAATAAACGCAGCAGAATAATTAAAATGCCAACCGTTGCATGCAACTATAACGGCAGTCACTTCAGTTCAGGGAGCCTTTTTTATTAGCCTTTTCTATTTTTATTTTTGAAAGAAATTAATACTTTTATTCAGCAAGGATGCATTAAATGAATCAAAAGTGACAGTAAAGACTTTTGCATTATTACAAAAGTTTTCCATTTCAAATAGTTTTAAACTTTCCATTTTTCAAAGAATACTGAAAAATATTAAGCAGCAAAACGGTTTTCAACATTGAAATTAATAAGAAATATTTTTTTTAATAAATGCAGCCTTGGTAAAACCTTACCGACCCCAACAACCCGGAAGTGTAAGTAACTATAAGCTATTCGTAGGTGGATTTCCACAAAGAGTATCAACTCTGCGTGGCACTATCACAACATTGCAATGTTTGTTTGAGTGTCCTGACAGAGCCACATTGGTTCACCCAATGGTGTGGAATGGGGGTAGGGCTATCGATGTGGTCAAGCAATGGCAAACAGGCTAGTGTTCAGAAAGAAAAAAAAAAAATAAAAAAATAAAAAAAAAATATATATATATATATATATATATATATATATGTTTTTTTTGTTTTTTTCCCTTTGAGCATTTTTGAGTTTAGTGACACTAGTGGCACTGAAAACAAAACTTTTAACATCAGAGACTATGTAAATGGGCCTGGATGAGTTTAAATAGGTGTATGGGAGTGGACTGGCTCCACGGCCAGGAAAGATGATTTAGTGAGGCTTGACTGAAGACGTTAGATGAATGAGAGGAGGAATGAATCCACCACAAAATGCTACATATAAAGAAAATGTCATTAAGCTATTCACTTCAGAGGGACAATTACCCACAAATGAAAACGCTGACAGTATTTACTCACCCCTAAAGAAGTCATACGGGTTTAGAATGACATGAGGGTGAGCAAACTGCCTTTTCATTGCAAGGATGCATTAAATGAATCAAAAGTGACAGTAAAGACTTTTGCATTATTACAAAAGTTTTCCATTTCAAATAGTTTTAAACTTTCCATTTTTCAAAGAATACTGAAAAATATTAAGCAGCAAAACGGTTTTCAACATTGAAATTAATAAGAAATATTTTTTTTAATAAATGCAGCCTTGGTAAAACCTTACCGACCCCAACAACCCGGAAGTGTAAGTAACTATAAGCTATTCGTAGGTGGATTTCCACAAAGAGTATCAACTCTGCGTGGCACTATCACAACATTGCAATGTTTGTTTGAGTGTCCTGACAGAGCCACATTGGTTCACCCAATGGTGTGGAATGGGGGTAGGGCTATCGATGTGGTCAAGCAATGGCAAACAGGCTAGTGTTCAGAAAGAAAAAAAAAAAATAAAAAAATAAAAAAAAAATGGACTGGCTCCACGGCCAGGAAAGATGATTTAGTGAGGCTTGACTGAAGACGTTAGATGAATGAGAGGAGGAATGAATCCACCACAAAATGCTACATATAAAGAAAATGTCATTAACATTTCACATATTCACTTCAGAGGGACAATTACCCACAAATGAAAACGCTGACAGTATTTACTCACCCCTAAAGAAGTCATACGGGTTTAGAATGACATGAGGGTGAGTAAATAATGACAGCGTTTTAAATTTTAGAAGAACTATCCCTTTAAACACGCTTGCCAGCTTTACACCCAGTCAAATATTCTGCCCAACACACTGGCAAGATATTCAGAGAGATTGCTAATAATAATTTCCACCTCACTGCTTAGATGCACACACATTTTGAAAGCACAATTTATGAATCTCAGCTGGTTTCCAATGACTTGCTGCATGTTTCCTTTGGACTGTCAGCGAAAGTGACAGTGTTATCTAATTCGAGGGCAAAAATATGGCCTTAGAGCCAGAAAAAGCAGCTGGTTGTCGGGAAAATGTCACACCAGGGTCATACAAATAGACAGTTTAAAACAAAGGAAAAAAACACGTTTCTTAGATATTTATTAAACAAAATATAAGTGGGACCTTCTTTAGTTTAAGCCTTATTTGACTGTTTGATCATCCTCTACAAAAACCTTCAGTCTGGTCGCATAGAACAGCAATTTGAGAAGCAGTACTAGGTGAGTTATGTGTGAATGTTTAATAGAATAGTTCACCCAAAAATGAAAATTAGCTGAAAATTTACTCCATCCAAGGTCTAGATGAGTATGTTTCTTCATCAGAACAGATTTGGAGAAATTTAGCATTGCATCACTTGCTCACCAATGGGTGCCATCAGAATGAGAGTCCAAATAGCTCATAAAACATCACAATAATCCACTTGATAATCCGAATGATGAAACTTGTGTTGATTACCGTTTTATCAGCTTTTATCAGGTGTTTGAGCTCAAATCTGTTGTGAAGTAACAAACTCATTAGCATCTTAAATGGTCTGCGTGTGTACATTTTCAGCAAATTTTCATTTTGGGTGAACTATTCCTTCAATAGGGTTAAGGATTCATCTAAATCCTAAGTATGAGCAATAGTAATAGTGATGCTAGTCTTGGCAATCATTTCATTCAATACTGATACATGAATGCGAATGAGTGCAATTTGTGTAGTTTTAAGTCAAAACTGACAATTTCTAACAGTCTCACTCCATTGTGAGGTATAACTGCAACAATGTCAAAACAATGTGATGATGACACAAGCTTCCTGCTGAACAGCACTTTCTGATGCTGACGCAGCAATCGCAGGCCAGCTGAGGTCGAGACATTCCATAAGGGAGTCAGCTCAACACTGGCAGTGCTGCTGATTGGATAACGCTTAAAGCAAAAAACTGTGTGCTTTGTGTCATAACTACTAACACGTGACAATACAAAACTATTTGGCAGAACAGACAGACAATATTTAATATATAACCCTTTGATGATTTCATCTGCTACAGTGGACAGACTACAACATCGTGCAAACTTGAATCTTAAATTTTCTTTTGACAAATGGAATGTTATTGCAGAAACTGGATTGATTTACTATACATATTTGACCAAGGTAAAGTTACATAGATGAAGTTTTATAGAAATAACAAAACCGATTTCTGACAGACCTGGAAGCATCAGTAAAAATGAAAATTACAAACAAATAAGTAATGTTTTGCATCATAACTAACAAACGTTATTTTTGTAACTACATACTGTATATTTGTTAATTTAAAGGGGTCATATGATGTTGCTAAAAAGAACATTATTGTGTGTATTTGGTGTAATGAAATGTGTTTATGCAGTTTAAGGTTCAAAAAACACATTATTTTCCACATACTGTACATTATTGTTTCTCCTCTATGCCCCGCCTTTCTGAAACGCGTCGATTTTTACAAAGCTCATCGGTC